TGACAGTGATTATGACCTTGATAGTTGGATCTTTCCTACTATCGACAACGGGCTCGGCAACTGGAAGGCCGAAGACATTATCTCTATCTCCTTTAGTCAGGAGTAATAGCCACATTTTTATTTTTATTTCTTTGAATGTTTGGTTATGTAATATTTAAACAATGACTTTAAACCTTGTGTCTTACCCGGGGAACAACGGTTCGTTTATTAAGGGTTGTCATTTCATAAACATATTTTAATTTAATAAAGCATTGGATGTTTTGCATTCAAATTTTGTGCTATTTGTCTTTCTTTTTACTTTTATTACTTTCAAATAGTTATGTGTTCTTACACACACCCACACAATATACTGTAGATCCACATCCACTCTAGATCACGTTGATAACGACTCTACTATTGCCACTTATAACTTTGAAAATTTGATCTACCAAGCCGAAGACGAAGGTGAAGAAGATTGTGAAATACCTGGAGAAATTTCCAGACTGTTAATGCAAGAGGAAAAGGCCATACAACCGCATGAAGAGTCGATTGAAGTTGTAAATTTGGGTACTGAGACAACCAGGAAAGAAGTTAAGATAGGAGCCAACCTAGAGGACATTGTCAAGAGAAGATTGATTCAAATGTTGCATGAATATGTTGAGATCTTCGTTTGGTCATACAAAGACATGCCAGGGCTTAATACTGATATTGTGGTTCACTTTCTACTGATGAAAGAGGGTTGTTCTCCGATAAAATAGAAGGTTCGTCGCATGCGCCCTAGGATGTTAGAGAAGATCAAGGCTGAGGTTATGAAACAATTCAACACAGGGTTCTTAGCAGTGACATCATATCCTCAGTGGGTTGCAAATGTGGTTCTGATACCGAAGAAAGACGGAAAATTATGCATGTTTGTAGACTATAGGGATCTGAACGGGGCGAGCCCCAAAGATGACTTCCCGCTCCCGCATATTGATGTTTTGGTTGATAACACCGCTCAGCACAAGGTGTTCTCCTTGATGGATGGTTTCTCAGGATATAATCAGATCAAAATGGCACCTGAACACATGGAGAAAACTACTTGCATCCCACAGTGGGGCACTTTCTGCTACAAAGTTATGCCTTTTGGGTTGAAGAATGTTGGTGCCACATACCATCATGTTATGGTAGATTTATTCCATGACATGATTCATCATGCGATAGAGGTCTATGTCTATGATATGATAGCCAGATCTCAGACTGAAGAAGAGCACCTCGACCACCTACACAAGCTGTTTGAGAGACTTGAGAAGTACAAGCTGAGGTTGAATCCAAACAAATTCACCTTTGGGGTAAGATCCGGTAAACTCTTGGGTTGCGCTGTCAGTGGTAAAGGTATTAAGGTTGATTCCGCTAAAGTCAAAGCTATTCAAGCAATGCATGTTCCCTGTACTGAGAAGGAAGTCAGAGGTTTCTTGGGAAGACTGAATTATATTTTCCGATTCATTTCTCATTTGACTGCTACTTATGAGCCGATCTTCAAGTTGTTATAGAAAGATCAGGTAGTAAAATGGAACGACGATTGTCATATAGCTTTTTACAAAATCAAGGAGTACCTCCAAGAACCTCTGATTCTGATGCCACCGGTTGAAGGAAGACCTCTAATCATGTACCTAACAGTGCTAGAGAATTCAATGGGGTGTATACTGGGCCAGCATGACGAGTCTGGTAGAAAAGAGCATGCAATATACTACCTTAGCAAAATGTTTACTGACTGTGAAATAAGATACCTAATGCTCGATAAAACTTGATGCGCTTTGGCATGGGCTGCTCGCAGACTAAGACAATATATGTTAACTCATACCACTTTGTTAATCTCTAAAATGGGTCCCATCAAATACATATTCGAGACGCCCGCACTCTCCAGACGAATAACCCGATGGAAAATGGTCTTGACAAAATAGGACATTCAGTACACCACTCAAAAAGCAATCAAAGGGAGCGTACTGGAAGATCATTTGGCTCGTCAAGCCGTAGACGACTACCAATCTATGAACTTCGAATTTTCGGACGAGAATATTATGCTAGTTACAAATTATGAAGAACCTGGCCCGTATGAAGGACCTGGGCCAGGATCCCGATGGACTATGGTTTTTGACAGAGCTTCTACTGCACTTGGAAACGAAATTGGTTCCGTAATTATCTCTCCTCAGGGTTTCCATACGCCCTTCACCGCCAAATTATGCTTGTACCAACAACATGGCTGAATACGAAGCGTGCATCATGGGTATTAAAGCTGCTATGGACCTAAGAGTTAAGTTCTTGAGCATATATGGGGCTCATCCCTGGTGATAAGCCAGATTAAAGGAGAATGGGATATAAAGCATCCTAACCTCATTCCTTTTAGAGAGCATGTGCTGACCTTAATTCCGTACTTCGAGGAGATCACTTTTGAACATATCCCACAAGAAGAGAATCAGTTGGTAGACGCATTAGCAACCATGTCATCTATGTTCAAAGTCAGATGTGATAACGAGGCTTCCAGAATTATCATTGAGAGGCTAGATGAACCTTCATATTTCTATGAAGTTGGCACTGACGGAGTAGAAGAGAAGCCTTGGTTTCATGAAGTTAAAAGATACCTTGAGGCTCAAGAGTACCCTGAGGAAGCATCTATCAATGACAAGAAATTCCTACGGAGGTTCTCTGTTAAGTTCTTCCTGAGCAATGGAATTTTGTACAAGCACAATCATTATTCGACTATGCTTCGTTGTATGGACCAGAAGGAAGCTGAGAAAATTATGGAAGATATGCACGAAGGAATCTTTTGTACTCACTCTAGTGGGAATACTATGGCTAAGAAGATTCTGAGAGCATGTTACTATTGGTCGACTATGGAAACTGACTGCCATCTAAAACAACTGACTAAAAATCATCAAACAATGAAGTCACCATCAAACGTCTTTTATCCCACATGGAGGGATAGATAAACATCGAGAAAACCTGAGAAGGGAGAAGCCACAGTCTTTTTACCGAAAGATCAGGTAAAGGAGTCTGTTACGCGAGGGGAATGTATTAGCACCCCACACGCCCGTAGTACTCTATGGTATCCACTCTTGTTATCTGTCTTATGTGTGTTTAATCTATGCTTATTGTACTACTGAGGAAGAATGCATGCAAAATAAAAGAGAAAATAATATAGGGAAAATAAAGTTGTGCTCGCTTGGGCCCTAACCCAATGCCTACATATATTCTTTGAGGAATCAAAGTTACCATAGTTCGGCTCACATGTTTTGTTTGTTTTGTGTCTTTTATGAACAATGTTAATTCTGCCTTTTGCCACAGCTCGACCTTTGGAGACTCACGCATTGGCACATAAGTAAATTAACATGTCCTTGTCTGAAAATGGTTTTGAGTTACGCTATCAAGGCAAGATTCCACGTTTGATTGGTTTGTGTTTTATCACCTTGAAAAAGGGTTTAAGTGTGATTAGTATGTTTTGATTTACTAAAAAAACAAAGGTTTTAGTTTTACATGCAAGGATGCAAAAGGGGGAAGAAATTTTTTTAAGGGAGACTAGCCTATTTCTAATCCTAATGTTATCATACAATGGTAGCCTTACGTCAAGGATGAGAGGAAGATCTCTACCTAATGTTAGCATGCATCGTTTGCAACCTAAAGTCTAACTTGCATCCGAAAGGAACAAGTACATCCTAAAGGAACATGGTATGGAAAGCAAATAAGCAAGCTCGAAAGAGCACACACATGCCACGAGTAGCGCACACTAACTCGGGTAAATTCCTAACCAAGATATAGAAGATCGAGGTAGGTGACAGAAGACAATATGAATGATCATAGAGTGTCAACATCAGACAATGAAAACTCTTGAAAAAGTATGGGGGTTTGATTGCAAAACCCTTCCCCACTTGACGACTCGATGTAGTTGATCTTAGGAACATGTTCGGAGCTCGGACTTGCGAAAAGTGAGCATAGGAACGACACAGACGAAAAATGATGGGGGTCGATTTCTAACCCTTTCCACTTGCCTTATTTTTGAGGACTTATGAATGGTTCCCATAAAAGGACCTAAAACCATCATCCCGCTATACAAGCACAAATTTAAACACACGTGCAAAATACCTACTTCAAAGGTAGGGTTTTAAACAAACACAAATAGCACACAGAAAGCATACAATGCGGAATTTCCCTAAAAGGGTCTTTAAATAAACCAGAGTGGTTCCTGACATGATCAATAACAGAGATCCCCTTCATACATCTCTATCCTACTTCTCATGGCATCAGAAAGCAGTAAAGAAGTGTGATAAAGTATGGAGAAATACAAGGGTAGTAGCAGTAACTACCACAAGCAAGTAAATCGTCAAAATCAGACGAAAGCAATGGAGAAGCAGGGAGTACGCGTCAAGCAAGCTTCACCAAGAAACAGACAAATTCAGAAACGATATCCAACTAAGATAAAAGCAAACGCATGTTGCGAATGCAATGCATAATCAGAAGTTCCTGCACAAAGCATCGTAAAATATCACATGTATCAGGATAACATATAATATGATATGAATTTCTCAGGATGATGAGAAATAAGGCGTGTCGCATCGAAAGTAAGCATAAGTCGTATGTTTCGATCATATAACAACTCAATATGATACATGACTGCAAGCATCAAGAATGTACCTTGCACAATGAACAAATGCGTCAAAAAAATAACGAGGCATAATGGTATGAAAATATGAATAAAAAACTAAAAGAAAAAGTATTTTTTTATTAGTTTTTTATATTCGGAAAATTCTATCGAAAACTAAAGAATTAATTCCTAAAATCAATTAAGAAAGCCTAAAAATTTTTATTGACTTTACACTTTTTTATCATAGAAAAATTAAAAGGAAAAATCCTAAATTTAATAAAGGAAATATGAGTATCAAATTGATTCCAGGGGTCTAGTATAGAAATCAGGCGCTAGGCCCAACTCATCAACGGTCCAGAATCAGGTTTTTTGTTGTGTTCAGTTTTCATTCACCAAAAACACAAGGATGGGCCTCTGGTAGTAATTCTCTCCAAATAATAACTCTGGGTGCAAGGCCCAATGCAGGACAAGCCCAGGAGGACTATTTGGGGGTTTCAGTCTAGATCCACAATTAATTTCTTTTTACATTCTATATCTTATTATTCAAAGAACAAAAAGAATTAAATACATTAAAAGAAATGAAAGAGATTAAAATGGTGTCGTTTGGTGTCATTAGGTCTTGTGACCTTTCACGTTCAATCGTCTCAACTCTCTATTTCTTTCCCGTTTCTTTTCTTTGTTCTCTCAACATTTGCATGCGACTTCTGATGGCGTCGCCACTGCTGAACTCTTCTAATCACTAAAATATGAACCTGAACCCTACCTCGAATTAACTCTTGATCGTGAATCTTGTGTTCGAATTCGCCAACTTCTCGTCAATCCATAACATCGAAGCTTTCTTCTAGAAACCCTAGGGATTGTAAGCTTGTAATTTGTGGCAGTGATGGTAAATTAACGGAGACAACCACCGAGATCCTCCTTTACAAGCTACAAGCTGCCACCATATGTAAAGAAAATGACGAGGAGATGGACGATTCGAAGGATTCCGAAGCTTACCGGTCAGCGTATAAACTAAGGAAGGTGATTTATCAGCGAAATTCTTTGCCTTCAGGTATGTACTTTGGATTACTCCAAATGTGAGAATTATTCTTTCACTCTTCTTCTTCTTTCTGTGTGATTACTGAACTGTTGCAAGATGTCATTATTCTGTTACTTTGAATTGATGCGAGATTGAAGATGCAAAGAATTCATTGTTGTTGCAGATTTACGACGATGATGATGTACGATTTGCATAGAAGCGTTGCAGTTGAGAAAGAATGAAGCGTGAAGAGATGGAGAATGAGGATACTAGGAAATAGCCTCAGTGCAAATCGAGAAAAAATGATGAGGAATTGCAGAGAAAGAATGGAGAATTGCAGAGAGAATGGAGATTGAGAGTGAAGGTTGAAGATGATGGTGGAAGGGATGAAGTGAAAGCTAAGAGAGTTTTAAGATTTTGTGGGTGATTCTTCTGAAATGATTGAAGAATCCTGGATTCAAGGTGAGCTTCTCGTTTTTATATTCTGTTAAATTTGAGATAGTTAGTTAAGAGTTAAATTCTATTAGGCTTAGTTATAGGAGTTAGTTGGGCTTGGGAATTATGTTAGATGAGCTGGAATTTGTTTGAGGTCCTGTTATAAGGTTTTGAAGGTTAGTTAGAGACTCTGAAATTCTGTTAGGAAGTTGGTTAGAGTTAGTTACAGTTTGAACAATTCTGTTACAACTAGTTAGGAATAGGAAATTATGACAGTTATGGGATGTCCATTTTGTTGCAAGTTGGGGTTAGTTTACGGTAGAAGCTGAATGAGTTTAACTGGAATAGTTCAAATATTGGATATTAATTAATCTTTATGTTTTTGTTCACTACTTGCGATGGACTGTTATGCTTGAGGAATATCATTTTTTCTATTTTGAAAATGGAAGAGTGTAGGTTGCCTATTCTGATTTTTAGTTCTCAGATTAATTGGTACAGGGTATGTTGAACTGATATAAATGCTTTGGAATGAGTAAGTAGCTTGAATGTAGGGCGGTTTGGTCATAACTTCGTGATGCTTAATTGCTTTTGTTTATGACTGTTTTTGTAGGGCAACAACATGGTTCAAGACATGGCTGCAGTTTGGTTCGTGTTGCAATGCTTGGAGGAAATATGAAGGCACATGGCGATGATGAATCAATGAAGATTAAAGTAAAGTGAGATGTTTGAATATTGAATCGAAAATAGGCCATTTTATTCGGAGTAGAAACAATAGGCTCCCACGTATTTTGTATAATTTCTCTTATATGTGTAATTTGATCTTTTGTTGAATGAGACACAACTTGTAATCCCCCTTTGAATATTTGTAATGAAACATGTTCTTCTCAAATAAATTTTAGCCTTAATCCATTTTTGAATCCATGTCTTTTTCTCTTCAACGCAAACTTGAATGGATCATAAGATAAGATGCAGAGAAAACTTGAGGAAGACCTTGGCCCAAACAATGATCCTTTATGTAATTCCCTTATAGTGTAATATGCTTGAATTATTGGGTTTTGATTGAATGGAATGTGTTGATTTTGAAAATGTTGAAACTTGAGTGATGAACATGTCTTGGAAACCTTGAACAAATCTTGTCTGATTTTGATGCACTTGTACTTTGAACCACATAGGTACATCTTCCAACCTCGCAAGTTTGAGATGACTTTGGTCCATTTATTAGTTTTAACACAAACTTAAACTCATGACTTTAGGTAGCCCTTTGAATGAACATTTCTAAATAATGAATCCAAATCAACCAAACCAAATCAATCTCGCCTTCTTTCCATAACTCTTAACTTCCATCTCAAATCCACCTTTTATAATTGAAGCAACAAACAATAACAATGTATTGATCATATTACACTCCCATAACATCACCTTTGTACTATGATTTAAACCTTGCAATTCACTCCGCCAAGGAACCTCAATTGATAACCAATGACCTTGAAGCAAATTTAATGAGGAAAACCTTGTAGGTAGGAACAAATAGAAGCATATGAGTGATGATGATCACAAAACCCTGAGATTCCTTGAGATGCACCTTGATGGCTTAAAATCTCATGATGAAGATGTCCTTGTAGCTTGATAAGAAAGAAGTCCACAATAGCCATGCGTCCAAAACCCTAGCTTTAAACCAATGTTTGATAGAGAAACTAATTGAAACAAGCTTGTGTGAAGATGAGAGCCTCAAAGAGAAAGAAACCCTAGCATCAAGATCCTTGATATCAGTTCCAAGTTTATTGATGATGCATGATTTATTATGACCTAATGGAATTTATGCAGATGAGATGAGAAGTGAAAAATGCATAAGCCGAATAAAAGTAAAAGGGTAGGACAAATTTGGGGTAGTACACTATCGCCATTCAAGAACTTGTCACAAGTGTCAGATCTATGCTGATAAAGTATATGTGCCTCCAGTACCTCTGAATGCCTTGACTTCTCCTTGACCATTTGCAATGTGGTGCATTAATATGATTAGAGAGGTCAAGCCTACTGCTTCTAACGGACATCGTTTCATCCTCATCACCATCGATTACTTCACGAAATGGATTGAAGCAGCCTCGTCCACCTCTGTTACTAAGAATGTTATTTCCAGGTTCATTAAGAATAACCTTATCTGTCAGTATGGCATCCCCGAAAGGATTATCACAGACAATGGTACTAATCTGAACAATACTATGATCACGAAACTCTGCATGCAGTTCAAGATTAAGCACCATAACTCTTCTCCGTATTGACCAAAGATGAATGGAACAGTGGAAGCCGCCAATAAAAACATTAAGAAGATTATACAGAAGATGACAGTGACATATAAAGACTGACACGAGATGTTACCATTTTCTCTTCATGGATATCTCACTTCAGTATGAACATTTCCTGGGGCAACCCCATTTTCTCTAATCTACAGTATGGAAGTTGTCCTACCTGTAGAAGTTCAAATTCCTTCTCTAAGGATCATGAAAATGCATATTTAGACGAAGACGAATGGATCCAGACTAGGTTGGACCAATTGAATTTGATTGACAAGAAAAGGTTAACGGTTGTCTGTCACAGTCAGATGTATCAGAAGCGTATGATCAAATCTTTCAACAAGAAGGTCAAGCATTGGATATATCAGGTTGGTGACTTGGTAATAAAGCGCATCATTCTCCCGCAAGGTGGTCCCATGGAAAAATGGACTCCCACCTACGAAGGACCATTTGTAATCAAGAAGATATTTTCGGGCATCGCTATGATACTTACCACTATGGACGGTGAAGACTTTCCACACCCTGTGAACGCGGACATAGTCAAAAGATTCTACGCATGAAAACGACCTGCTAGGTTGACTGACTTGGGAAAAAATAAGGGCATCCCTACGAACCAAAAGGGTTCGGGAAAAAATTAGGGATATATATATAAAAGACTGTAGACCCGACAAGTCGAAAACCGGAAAAGGCAACTTGGGAAAAAAAGGGTATCCCGGTGGACTGAAAACCCGAAAGGACGGTCCAGGAAAAAATTAGGGATTAAAGCGCATGACTATGTCTCATTGGATCACTTACAACTATCTTTATTACCAACATCAAGTTCGAATGGTGCGATCAATTCAATCCGTTTCTTCCGACAACAAGGGATGAGATGCTCGAAGACATCGGGGCAATGTTACACGGTGGCAGAACCGACTGTTTATATACTGGTTTTTTGCGTTTTTTATTCGCAAATGTGCGGTAAGCAAGAGTCGCCACCGTCTTTTCTTTTATCCAATTTAAGGAAAGGGTTAAAAGAACAGAAAAAGACCTTTTTGTGATGTTTCTGAGTAAGGGGGTAGATTATGGAAAGGGAAGGTGTTACCACCCTTTCCATCTGTGGTTTTCCACGGGCTCTTAGAGGTTTTCTCCTTTTTTCAAAATACTTTTGTGCTTTGTGTATTTGAAAATGTTTCGAAAATGCCTTAGTGCGGCGATTTGGTTTGTGTTTAACTCTTGTATCGGTCCTCAAGAGTGTTAACAAAGCAAATGTTTTTCAAACTTGTTTTTAAAAAGTAGTTTTCTGTGTAAGTGCAAAAAATAGTTTGAGCAAACTTCTAACAGCTATCTACTTTATTACTCGAAAAGGATCGTTCTTTTCCTCCTATCCTTTAGACAACACTATCCTACTATTAATGAGTAGGTAGCCCTATCGTTGGATATTGAGGGACATTCGAATGGACGTTACAGTCATAAAGGCAACATACAAAGAAGCTTTAGCAATTTCGTTTAAGGGACGTGATCATTTACCGAAAGGCAACATCGTAGGGTCATCGAGGGACTATGATCTTTTTTATTTTTGTGGGTCTTTGCTAAAGCATTCCTTCCCCATGACTGTTTTATTGAAGGCAAGCAAAGTGGGCGTACCTTAGAGGTGCTTGTGTGCAATTATGTTGTGTTTCAGTTATTTATCTTTAAACATTTAGGTGTTCTACCATTTGTTTTCAGATCTTGTCATACAATCCTAGTTATCTAAGCAGTTAAATATGTGCAGGAATTTAAAATGCCGGAATTATAAATCCTACGCTATTACAAGGCTTCGGGGCAGTTACAATATAAATGCATGAAATAAAATGCGAAATTTTAAATCTAAAGCTATTACAACTGTGAGCAGTTACAATAAAATAAAATGCACGCGAATTTGAAAATAACATCTAAAAATTCTAAGCATAAAATCTTTCTTGTTGTTTTTGGTATAAAAGAAAATAAAGGCCTAAGTCTATTTAATTTTAATTTTAAGAAAATTTTTAAAATTATTTATTTATTTATTTACGAAATTGATTTAGTTGGAAAAACAAATAGTCTAATTTTTTGTGATTTTGATTTTAATGTAAAGATAAGAAACAGTCAATGAAAACAAAAATAAAAGGCAAAAGGAATCCTTTGATCAAAGGGGAAAAGAGGAGCTTCGATCCGGGGAAAAGAAGGAGCTTTGACTCTGGGAGGGAATGGAATCTTAGATCTAGAGAGGGTCATGGTAGCTTCGATCCAGAGAGGGTCATGATCCTTTCGATTGGGCCAGGAAGTGGGCATGAACATCCTTCGATCCAGGAAGGGGATTGCCCTTCGATCTTGGGGAAATGGAATGCCCTTCAATCCAGGCAGGAGATGTCTTCTTCGATTGAGAAGGCCATGAATTCGATCCAAATAAGGTGTCTCCTTCGATCTGGGATGTTGTACCTGCAAAAGTATGTTAGCGAAATAAAGCGCAGGGCCTGAGTATCAAACCCCAGGCCCTTCGATCCTGCGCGCTGGGTCTTTTTCAGGCCAAATCTGCAGTAAATGTTAGTAAACGAAGAACATGACCTGGGTGCCAAACCCAGGTCCTTTGATTTTGTCTAGGATGGCAAATCGAAGGGGATAACAAGTATGGAGGTGTTATGCAAACTGTGATACAGTGGCAGAACCGACTGTTTTTACTAGTTTGCATTTTGTGTTTTTTGTTTGCAAAATGTCGCGGTAAGAAAGAGTCGCCACCGACTTTTATTTTATCCAATCATGGAAAAGGAAAAAGAACAGAAAAAACCTTTTTTCGAGATTTCTGAGTACGGGGGGTAGATTATAGAAAGGGAAGGTGTTAGCACCCTTTCTATCCATGGTTTTCCATGGGCTCTTAGGTACTTGCTCATTTTTCGAATTGCTTGTGTGTATTTGTCTTGAAAATGTTTTACTTCGTGATAACCCTTGTATCAGTCCTCAAGGATGTGACGAAGTTTGTTTTGAAAATTGTTTTGAAAGGTGTTTGTGTGAAAAGTTTTTATTGTTTAAGCAAGTACCTAGGAACTAATCTACCTAGTCGAGAAAAAGATTGTTTGTTCTTGTTTCCTTTAGACAAATGTATCCTACTATTAAGGAGTAGGTAGCCCTGTCGTTGGATTTGTAAGGGACATTCCAAAGGGACAAGTACAATCACTAAAGCAATAGTTAGAAAACTTTAGTAGTAACCCTAGAGTCTTAAGATCTTTCCGAGGTAACATTTTCGAGGCAACATTCGAATGAGACATTTTGATCTTTTAGACTGGAGGGCAACCACTAAAATCTCCTATGCTTAATGACTGTTTACCGAAGGAAATCGAAGTGAGGTAAACCCTAGGAGTGAATATGTGCATATGAATTGTTTCAGTTATTTAATCTTGGCACATTAGATGATCTACCGTTTTAATTTCAAGA